CATCTTTCTCCTGTGGAACTGCTCGTGGGTTTGAACTGTTGACCCTTCTCTTAGCAGCCGAGCTCTTAACCACTGTGCCATCAGGGCTCCTTCCCATAGACACAGCATTATGTAATAGAAAGAGCTCTGAATTTGGAACTGCAAGACCAAATTTCAAGTCATGACTCTACCATTTATTAGCTGTATGACCTTGAAGAAATCTCTTAAGTACTTTAAGTCTATTTTTTTGTTTTTGTTTGCTTGTTTTGTTTTTTAAAATCTGCATAATCAGGAAAATATCTGCCATAACTATTTACCAATAAAATAGTTAATGTAGTAGAAATATAAATTATTATTATTAATACCAGATAATGTCAGCTGACTTATCATTGGTGCTTAGATATCCTTTTATTGCTACCTTCTTCTTCCTAACAGGGGCTGTTAACAGACATCTGCCACTTGCTCATAGCCCCACTCTTAGACATATAACCTTGCAGCTTCATTTACCTAGAATATCAACTCTCTGACTTCAAATTTCTCTACCTCTGTCACCTCTGTAGCACCGTATCAGTTTCTGAAACTATTCTCTCCTTCTTTGTTTCTATATCATGAAAACGACTTAACCCCCCTTTCCCTCAGAGGAACACCTGTCTCTAGAACCTTGACCCCTCTAATCACTTTTCACCTTCTCTAGGAATTTATCAGTTATTATTTTTCTCTTCCAGTGTGCTCAGTTCCTTTGCACTCAGTAACGAACTAGACCTTGAACCTGAGAACATCTCAAAACATTTTCCCATCTTGCTTTTCCCTTTCACTGACAAAATTCAAAATTTTCCAAGCAAGCATCCAATAAACCTGTTTCCACTCTTCCCCTTTTTCCTTCCGACATACTATTATCATTTCATCTCATCTTGGCTTTTACTTTACCTAAATAAGTTTATCTATGTAAGTCACTTAGAATAGTCCCTGGCACATAGTAAACACTCAAGAAATGTAAGCTATTGTTATTTTTTATTATCTATCAACCTTATGTTTTTGAAGATCATCAGGGACCTCCTAACAAACCCAATAGCCTTTTCTAGTTCCTGTTCCTCTTGGACTCGTTTCAGACACTGCTGAACAACTACTCTTTTGTAAAACTCTCCTTCCTTAGCTTTTCCATCTTCTTCTGCTGGTTACCTCTCCTGAATGATAAATTTATTTCATACAGCTCTGTCTTAGGTCATTCACATACACACACTCACACATGTACATTTCAATCATTTCAGCTAACACCTTTATGTGAATAACTTCCATTTCTACATTTTTAGTCTTGAGTCCTCTGTGAAGGTCCCAAATCTTGGCTAGTCCATTGGTACCTGAAATACATTATGCTTAAATTTAATTCCATAAGTTCCTATGTCATCAAAGCTCTATCTTTTTTTGTTTTCTTCTAAAACTTGGCTTTCTTCTTGCCATCCTTATTTGTGTTAAGGACACTAACATGTTCACAGCAATCCACATTTAAATTTTTAGTATTATCATTGTCATTTTGGTGGCTGCTAATTACCTACTAAATAAAATCCACATTCTTCCAAAGTGCATTTAGCAAGAAATTCATGGCTCTCTGAGTCTGACCTACAATCTTCCTGCTTTATACAATCTTTGTTTCATCCAAATTATAGTTCTGATTCTACTCTCTCCCACTTCAATACTTTGCTTGGAATGGCCTACAATCTATTAACATCTTATCAATTTTTCAAGATGTAATTAACATGCTAACCTTTTTATGAAGCACTCCCTTAAATAATTTCTTGGGAACCTTCAAAGAACGTAGTTTGTACTTACTTGACAGCTTATTTGTATTCACTGTAGTGTCATTTTTTGTGCACCCTCACTTCACCCTCAATTTAAACTTATAGTAATCATTTGCTAAATGTTCAATATAGCAACTAATGATCAAACCGATCTCAAACAATATTATTTCAACTTGGGACAAATGATGCAGGGTTTGAGTATTTTTGGAGGACTAAACTTCAACTTGAATATGGGAGAAGAGCCTGGCAAAGCGGTGAAGAGCTCGGTTGCTAACCAAAAGGTCAGTACTTCAAATCTACAAGCTGCTCCTTGGAAACCCTATAGAGAAGTTCTACTCTGTCCTATAGGGTAGCTATGAGTTGAAATTGCCTCAACAGCAATGGGTTTTATATAGGAGACAAAATGGCTTAAATTCCACATAGCCTTTTTTTTTTTTTTTTTGGCTATGAAACAAAGTAACAATGGAGAATGGTAGATTGGCTGCACATAAATACTCAGTAAATATTTCTTGAATAATCAAAAGTGTCAATTTTTAAAATGGTCCTTAGATAGTACATTAAATAGAGACAGAGAGTCTGTTGGAAGAAAAGCTAATATAGGATTTGGAAGGGATGTCTAAGGCTCTGTGGGTATAAAGGGATGGAGGGATATAAGGGATAGAAAGCAGACTGTCCTTTAAAGGACAGAATAGATTAACTTTTTAATTTTTCTTATGGGCCCTAGAACTACAGAGTTTGTTGAAATTTAGAGTTTTATAGAGCAGTGCAGAGTTCTGGCGGCACAGTGGTTAAGAGCTACAGCTGCTAACCAAAAGGTCGGCAGTTCGAATCCACCAGTTGCTCCTTGGAAACCCTATGGGGCAGGTCTACTCTGTTCTACAGGGTCGCTATGAGTCAGAATCAACTCAATGGCAATAGGTTTTGGTTTTTCTAGAGCTGTGCACGTTCTGCTGGAAGATTCCAGAGGAACTCAAAGAATCAATAAATCGATATGATTTCAAATATAGGGAAATAAAAAGTTATGATTTTAGGTGACAGAAGTAAAACGATTGCTTTGGGGCTCCCCAACACCTATCCTTTCTAGGCTTTTGGGAGGATTTTTGGCTTCTTTTTTCTAAGGCAATAACAGATAGTTAAAATGACAATTATGGCCATCATTGATTGAGGGCCATGGGCCAGGCACTGTACTGAGCACTTATATCTACATTAGCTCATTTAATTGTAAAACATCACTTCGAGGTGTGTAATATCATCCAAATTTCACAGATGAAGCTAGAGTCATGACAACCTTCCTCAATGTTTCACAGCTAGTAACAGTCAAACCCAGGATTCAGAGCCAAGATCTGAACTGAGCGTTTCTGGGTCTTAAGCCCATGTCCAAACTTCAACACACTGGAAAGGCACGGTGTAGTCTCAATAATTCCCCATGGAAAGGCAATTAAAATATTACCTTTGTTGATGGAATTTAACCAGTGCATCTGAGCAAATGCTACTTAGATACTGATGGAATCCACAACATTGCCCATCTCTTGAACTTTTCTGGCAGGGTTAACGTTACCCAGATCTGGCCTCACTTTACTTATCTTCTGACCACTAGCTTGAAATGTGATGTCAGCCACTTATGCCACCAAATGTCAATAGTACATTTTTACTAATTATATGTATGCCTGTAATTAAAGTATACGACTAGAACGGGGCTAGCTTTGTCAATTATAGCTAGTGAACTGTAGGCATGACTTGGCTACATTGCTTGACAACTACTTAATAAATCATTTTTTAGTATAAAATGTAGTACAGAACTTCTAATTCTAGAAAGCAGCTATTATATAGGCAATAGCATAGGGCTCAAAGTAGAGAAGAAGAGGACTAGCCTTGTTGCACATTTACTACATGCCAGAGTTAAAAATATTCCATATTATTCCATTTATTTCTCAAGACCACCTCGCAAGGCAAGATCATTGAGGTGTCACATTTTTCAGGTGAAGAAGCCGATGCTCATGGAGATAATCAAATCTGCTCACACACGGGGGGTGGTCCAGGTAGGGTATCAACCAAACTCTGTCTGGCCACAATGCCTGTGTTCTATCCACTATATGCACTGACCTCCATGTCAGCAAAGTCCGAATTTTTAACATGATAGGAAATTTATTAGCCAAGTTGTCTTTAAGCTCTTTATATCTTTGTTTCCTCATCGTTAGAATAGGGGAAATACCATCTGCCACCCAGGGACTGAAGAGACAGCATAAAACACTTAACACAGTACCTGGCACATAATAGAATTTGATAAACAACTGCTTTACTTTAAGTAAATTATCTGAAATAGGAACAAAAGAAGAAACTTCCTATAGTTTGACATAGCTGAGCCTCATTGTTCTTCCGTTTCATAATAGCCAATAGTATAATCATTCCACTAATGAAATCTGAAGAAACAGTGTTAAATACATTTGGTTTTCATTCTGACGCCTTGAAAACCAGTAACCGATATGAATCGAGTACGGTTGTTCAGTATGAATTGAGTACGGCTTGTTCAGCTGAACTCATATTCCCAGATCATGGTGAAAAACATAGGGTATTGAGATCAATTATCCAGTGGGAAAAGTAAGCGTGTGCTTAGGGGACTAGCAAATCAAATGCATCCGAGATATGAGAAAACTTCCAACTAAAATCAGTTTATGAAGAATTTTATAATTTAAAAAAATCTAGAAAGAAGCTTTTAAATTTAAGCTGTCATTTAAATTTTGTTTTTGTATTAAGTGCTTTTTTATTTTGATTTCAGTAAGGCAGGGAAGCTTGGAAGGCAGGTATGTAAAGGTTTCCAGTGCTCAAGGCACTATATGAACATGGTTCTGGAATACTCTTTAGTATTTGTTGACTTACAGCAGATACTTTAAAGGTACCAAACATCTTTTAAAATATAGTCTCCAATAATTTTTACAGAATAAAATGTTTATGCCATCTTACCTTTTCAGAAAAGTGTGTTCTCTCCTGATCTATCACAGCGATCTAGACCGTAATCCCTCAGCTGACAGACAATAATTGTTTATCCCATAAATACACCACTTTTGGTAAGTTGACATAAGTAACTAGCAACTGGTTAGAATATTTTATATCACATAAAAATGGTCTGAGCTTACCTGGCTTTTAAGAAGCTACAGCATATCTAGCCTCAGTCCAACATTTTTTCCCCCAAATATTTAGAAAATAAAAGTGCATCAACATACAAGGTTTTGGGAAGAACATTTTATTGCTAAGCATATCCTTGAACGAAAAGGCAAATATGAAACAAAAGAGAAAAGGAAAAAGAAAAAGCAGCAACGTCACAACATTGTAAAATAAATTCCTTAAGGGTCTGCTCATAAAACAACAGGAATATGGTAGAAGCTCACACGCAGTATGCACATGTTCCCATAAAATTTCCAAATAGAAACTTACACTAAAAGGAATATAACAAATGTATTTTTACTCAAATTAAAACAAAAAAAAATTGTAAAGAAAGAAAGCAGGAAATCAGTTTACAAGACCTCAAGACTCCAAAAACAGCAATCTTTTACAGACATCGAGATATAATCAACTTCATATAGGTTGGGCCATTTATATTATCTAAAATCGTGCTTTGATATCTCTTTATAATCCTGTCTTTTTTTAATGACAACAGAAAAAGTTAGAAAAAAACTCAACACATCGAAATATCAGATAATGAGGAACACCTCTTTCCATACACATTAGAAAACGCTACCATTGTTTAGATTGCGCGTTTTGCCCCATGTCTTTAAGATAGTTTTTCAAAGTCAAATAGTCATGCAACTTACAAAGACCAGCAAGAGTAGATTTCTAAATCTAAACAGCTGATTTTCATCTGTACAAAGAAATAGTATATATCTGACCCTTTGGAGGACACACCCCATTTTTGCGTGAATATTTGTCTGGCTTTTTCTCTTGCTTTTTGGATAGGTATGGCCACACAACCATTTTATTTTATTTTTTTTTCTGTACATTGTTTCCTCTTTTCAAAAAGAAAGAAAGACAATTGGAATATAAACCCAACAAACTGAAATAAACAAAGAGAAAGAACAGGTCTCAAAGCAGTATGTACATAGGTAGCTAAGGAATTATACCAGCAAAAATGTAGTAAAATATGTAAACAAAATCTGAGATTTTTTTTTTCTCTTTGACACAGTCAACTGTGACAAAACTAAAACTCACACTTTCTTCACATTATAAGGTTTGCTTTTTTGTTGTTTTCGTATTTTCTTTTAAAACAACATTCTCATTCTGCTTCAAGACTTTAACAGATTGCCTGTTTCAGTCGTCCCATCAAACATACCACGATAAATATATCTGTATATATATTTATTTATATATATATTATACTATTAAATTCCTTTTCGTGTGTGTGTGTCACAGCAGCTTTGTTCATTGATTTAATTATTCATATTTTTAAAAAGATGGGTAAAGGGAGACGTGAGTCAATGGAAGGATAGAATTATCCATTAATGTCAGTTTGCAAAATTAAAACACTATGAAAAACATTACCACGTTGAGGGCGGGGGTGGGGAGAACTATGTATTTTGCACTCCGTTATGATGTGTTTGGCTTGTGTGACCTTTTGTGGTTCCATCACAAGTTGAACTCCTGTCTGGTAGTCTGGTTTGATTATTTGACAGACTTTCATTATTGTCTTTTCTTTTGTATTTGCATGCACGTCAGGCAGTCACAGATCCAGCCCACCCCCCACTTGGCTAGGAAAGACTCTGTTTTAGTTTATGGGGCTTTCCCCTTTACCACAGTTTGGCCGGGCTAATGAACAAGAACACTATCGTTAAATAAAACCAATAGCTCTGATAAAACCATCCCTGAACCCATCTGTTCAGGGTTTGGGCGACAAATTCTGGAATTAGATCCTAGGGGACCAGCTTTTCAAATCAACATTATCATCCATCACATGATTTTGTTATGTGTTCAGCAAAGCATCTTATAGGAAACAAACAACAGATGCTAGAGACACCACAACCTGATATGGAGAGTGGACGCCACAGTAGCTTTTGAGTTCATATACGGCAAAAGTCTCTCTCATTTTTATTTTTCTGAGTTTTTTTTTCTTCTTAACTTATGTCCAGTCATTCTCAAAAAATAAACAAAAACCCAAAAGCCATTTTCCCCTTAGATCTTGAAAAGTTACCCGCACACCAGCCAGAACCAGATAAGGGGATTTTTTTTTGTTTCTTTTTCTTTTTTTTTTAAACTTTTTTTTGTTTTCTTTTTTTTACATAATTAAACTGAAAAAAAAAAAACAAAAAAAAACATTGTTACAATCAAGCTTCACAACATCATTACAGACTCACTTGGAGTTATGGAACAAGTAAGCCATGAAGTCTTCTACCTTTTGTCGAAAGGTCCTCAAGAGAAGGAAGCTTCCAAGTCCGCTAAAGTGGTGGAGCCATTTGCTTGCTCCAGAGTGCTAAGTGTGTGCTCTATGATACAGCAGGGCAGAAAGAACTTTCTGTCTCCGAGTGATGACTGAAACACAGCAGCCATGGCGGAATTTTAGAGATAGGTACATCTTTGTGTGTGTCCTTTTAAAAATGTTTTTTTCCCACCAGAGTTATGGTATACCCCGTCTCATAGTTACAACAGTTCTGACATCTGTCAAATCTCATTTTCAAAGTATTTATATATTTATATATAAATAATTCTGTTTTTTTAAATTCATTTATTAGTAGTAGTATTATCTTTACACATAATACTCTTTGTCCTTGTTTTTCTGTTTCTTGTGGCCGCTCTTTGAGCTCTGTTGCTTCTCCTTGAGGAGCGTGCCGTTGCTCTGGGCCGAGTTGCTGATGTAGTTCCGCGTCTCGTCCACTTGATAGGACCCCTCGTCCCTGTTCCTGTACTTGTACATGGCGTACAGGAGGATCAAGATGCAGAGGGCGGCAGCAGCCACAATACCGACGACCATCCCTGTTGTACTGCTCGACTCCCGGATCACCTCTGAGGCCCCCGGAACCCGTCTGATTCCCGGCTCCGTGGGGTTTGCTGTGGGCACATTACGGAACATGGGGGAAGTAATTAGTGGGTTCTTCAGTTTGGTGCTGTCTAGCTCATAGGCAGTGGGCAACGGAAGCAAGACTATATCAGGCTGGGGTTTGAGATCACGGTTATTCATTTTGCCAGCTGGCAATTTGGGCACCATCCCAGACGAGGAGGAAGCTGTGAAGCGGATCAGCTCAGGGGACAAAGATGTGGTAGTAGTCCTACTAGTTTCGGAGACTTTGTTAGGTCTAAAGTCCTTGGATTCCCACTTGGGCGCATGTGCTTTGTAGCCACCTTCGAAGATTGAAGTGGAAAGACTCTTATCTGTTACCAAGGAGAAGGTGGTGTAAAAATCTTCATCATCAGTAGGGGGCAGGTTAGAGTCAAAGGTTTCCCCTGAGCCATACCCAGATATCACCAAGCCATCATCATCACAACCATCGCTGCCTTGGTCCGACAAGCAAGGTAACCCCGCCTCAGAGGTCATGGACAGGGAATCTTTGGTGGTCTCAATAATGGTGAGGAGGGGGCGAAAGGTAGGGGGGAGTGTAATGGAAGGTGCACGAGTAGCAATAGGAGGGGTAGCTAAAGGGTCTTCTACAAGAAGAGGGATAACTAATTCACCTCCTGGGATTGAAAAGAAAAAGAAAAACAGAATTAGTATATTTGCAAACACAATTCATAGTCACTCTAAGTGAATGTAGTTCATAGGTTATGCCTCAGATTATATTCAATGACCTGGATCGCATATGGATCCTTTCTGGCTGTAGCCTAATCATTGTAGACTGATTTCGAGCCCATGATATGCCTCTTGCCACCGAAATCTGAAATCCTTAGATTGGGGACTTAGATACTCTCAAGTAATTATTTAAATAGAATTCAAATATGCCATTTGCAGGATCTGCTTATGAAATGATACCATTCATTCATTTATATTGTTGCAAATACTGACTGGCTATCAAAACTGTGTGTGTGTGTGTGTGTGTGTGTGTGCGCGCGCGCGCGCGCATGCATGCATACATGAGTGCATGTATGTGTTTAATTCATAAGCTGTAACATTTCTTTATTATCTTCTTGGGTTTCTACTTACTTGTTTTCATGAAAATGAGGATGGCATATTCTCCATGTCATTGAGACCATGATCAAAGAACATAAAATACTCATCTTTAGTATGTTCTTAAGTTACTACCTTTTATTTTACATTTGTTAATTACTGTCCTTTTCTGTAAGCTAAATGAAGGGAACTTACAAGAGGCTGAAAGTATTCATTTTGACTATACTTTTCCAGAAAGCTCCCTGACTATTGAGTGACCACTCTGTTTGCATTAGTCTAATATTTGCTTATGTATCGCTTTTATGCTACATACAATATATGCTGAGCTGGAAGCTAGATTTCAAAAATACCCAGCCTAGATATCCATGACTTGCTGAAAACTTGCTTTTAGATTCAGAAATGTAGACTAGCAAAAGTGAGTTCTTTAAATCAGTGATTCTCGACTAGTGTGGCAAAAATACATTGATTTACCCTCAACACATAGGTATTGCACTTAATATATACGTGGACTGAGTTGGGAAAATAAAAGTTCAGAATAGTTTACTAAATCACAGTGCTTGCAAATGATGAGTATCAAAATATTCTATGGTGGATGTTGCTCACCTAATGGTTGTGTTAAACTTATTATTCACCTATGTAAGCAAGATAATCAAAGTCTTTTCCATGGCTCTTGGTAATGTTTGAAAATCAAACAAAGAAAGGATATCAAGAAGTCATAGTCCATGTCTCTTTACTGAATTTATTCCAGAAAAAAAAAAATTCCAACTATTATTTTTCCAAATCCTCTAGCAGGGATGTCAAGATGTTTAGCTGTTCCATTAAATCAACGAGTTGAGTAGATGACATGCTATTATTCATGAAGGCCTCATTCTGAGCTGGGTCACTAAACACTCAACCAAATACAATATCCTTCAGTGTTCTTCCCTTGGGAATAAGTCAGTAATAATGGGATGGCAAGTTTCTGAGCATCTGTTAACAGATATGACTTTCCCTTAGGTGCCCCCTTCTCTTTGCCTGTGGCAAAGCCAGATATGTGGTTCAATACTGCGGAGATATGGGGGACATTGCACGTGGACAAGCCTTTGAGCTTACACAGTCTTCCAGTGTTCTATACAAAAGCTGCCTCACATTCTAATGTGAAATTGGAACACATTCCACTCAGCATTCCACACCTTGTGTCTTTAAACTCTTTCCATGCCTCAGATAGAACTGTGGCATCTAAATTGTCCAGGTTTCAGGTGTGCTAAGAGAAGGGCCTCCGGAGAAGAAAGCTATTGCAGACCTTCAAAGCACCTGAATAGATTTGCTTGCACCCATGCCAGATGTTCTTACTCCTTCCCTATTTAGCCAATAATCCTGTGTTATGCAGAAAGAAATTGAGTTGGGAGAGGGATTAAATGAATATAATGTATACCCTTTGAAAGAGCAGAGACAACAAAAATGTTGTACTAACGTCTCTGGCCCACCTGATAATTCTGTCATATGTGAGGAAATAAAACAAGAACTTTTCTGAGAATCTCAGGATATTTTTGTCTGTGCTTTAAACCCAAGCTTCTATTCTAGTGCTCAGAGTTTGAAACTATTGAGCAAAATGCTTTGCAGAAATGCCAAGGCTTCAGATTTGCTTTATTTGGCCAACTTGCCTATTTTTTACCTTGTGAACATATATAATTCATATACCTTGCAACTTACTTAATGCATAATTTACACACTTTGGCTAGTTTTTATAAATGGGATTTGGAGCATAGTTCCCTAAAGGTAAGCTAGTCCTAAAACTACCCTGAGCTAGCTTTTCTTTTCTTCTTCTTCTAGTAGGGTGGCCCCAAGTGGTATATGTAAGGTGATACATGGGACAGGGCAGTGTTTGTGTAAGAAAACAGCGGTGTGAGGGAAGAAGTGGAGGCCCACGCAAGCTGCCTAAAGATTCCCTAGGGATTTCTCAGGCATTATTTCACTTTACTTCCGGGAACAAAACAGGAAATTCTTGTCCTGCTTAACTAGAACAAAAGTTTAGCACGTGTGTTCTTTTCTGGCACAAATACCCAGAGTCATTTGTTCCTTATGGCAGCGACAAAAATCTACCCCACACAGAGCAAACAGAGAGGAAACTGGGATAAAGGACAAGGGATAACTGATTTGTTGGGAGGCAAACGCCTGTACAAATAATTTAAATATAAAGGCAAACTGTTGGGTAGGATGCTAGATTCCCTTTGAGTGAGATTAAGATCACTGCATTCATGATTACAGACTGGCATTCATTTGCAATTTTAGCGAACCATCTGTGACACCCAACTGGAGTCTTAAATTTGCCTGTTCTTCATTTGTTTTTTGTTTTTCATCCTAGCTAAAGCTTCTGCAGAGTCTTTGTTATTAAAAATCTGTGAGCTCTACAAACTGCTCACTCTGCAGTTGAATCGCTCCCACTTTACATTGCTATTTCCTTCTCATTCAACATGCTAATGCAGACAGCTCCCTTGGATTTTTTTGAAAAAGATAAAACTCACCTTTTTCATAACGGGATGGAAAGAGGGTCCTGAAGCTCACTAATCTATCAAGGACTCTGAAAGCCTGGTGAGCCCCCAAGTGATATGATAAGAGCTTATTTCAAAATGAAAATGATGGGTATGCTATTGTAGAATTTGAATAACAGAATCTGTCTTCAGTTTTCTTTGCCATTTTGTCATTAATGCTGGCAGCAATAATAAAAATGGTAAGTGATGCCCTCTTTGAGCCCAAATTCTGCTGGTATTTAATCAATGAAATGGTAGAAGCTTTTGTACCTATTTGATTTTTTTCTGGCATCTCAAGGAATTGGAAGAGTGCTTTTAGTTGAAAAGGAAGTTGGCTAAGATGCAGGAGTCATTAATACAAATGGAAATTATAGTGAAATGAGACTGAAAATTTTCAATAATCATAAACTTGAAAGCTTCTTGTGAGAGGTGTATGAATTGGTGTGTATAATCAATTTTAATATCAAATTCCACCTTTAACATATAAGATATAATGTACCGGGGAATTCAAGTTCACACATCATTTGAAATGGGGGAGAATTATTTTTCCCATTATAAGATCCTTAATAGAAATGTCTTAATTTGTGTGAGGGTATGTAAGACTTTGCTTATTTGTTTTAATCCAGGATGTCTGCCCTCAGAAATATTGGAGCAGCTGGTAATACATTTTTTTCACTGCCCATGGGCTACAGAGTTAGGGATCAACCAGATGTCTATGCCCTCAGAAGTATTCATGCAAGTCACAAGCCTAAAGTCATAAAGAGTAACAGGCAAAGGGATACAAAACCTGATATCCATCAAAACTCTAATTTCCTATGCCACTCCCAGAATTTTTCTTTGGTTTGGAATAAGAACTATCTGAATCCCTTAAAGCTAGCATTTTAAATTGGGAATATATACTCTTCTTTTGACAGGGTTGTGCTTTTCTTTAAACTAGAGAGATCACTAGGGATATAAAAGGTCTATTTTAGCCCTGAAGCCTGCCCTGCTTTTTTGCTTTATAAGTGTATTTATAGATACATAATTCATGCCTCTAGGGCTGATATCCAGCAAAAGGGGCTCTCTGCCATTGGAAAAGACAGTGTGTTAAAAATTTAATAGAACTCTTCTGAACTGTGAGAATGTTGTGGGTGATGGTAAATGTAGTGGGTCATCTAAAAACCAAGTGGAGCAGCATGAAGTTTCACTGTGGCTCTGACTGTTATCTCTCTGGAGATGTCTGAGTCTGAGAGTCACGAAAATACCAAAACAGTGGTGCTGAAGAGCGAGACTCTGGGAGAGGACACCACACTCCAATTCCTTCAATTTCTTTTGTGTATATTCGGCTTCTTTACCTCATCTCTTACTTGCATTTTTCTAATTTCTGCTTGGAAATTCACATCTCATGGGAAGAAATAAATCCTTTCCTTCACTAAGTTAGTTGTTCAAAGATATTCATT